GGGTGGCCAGTGCAATAAGTACGTTTCAGAAATACATTTGGTAAGTGTACCAAGGTCTGGCAATTAGCAGTGAAAGGTAAGAGTGGAATCTCTGCATTGAGAGGCAGGACACTTCCAGTGACCTAATACTATGTGTGAGTTTTCCTGGGGTACTGGAGAGTGCTGTGCTCAAGGGATTTGTGTGGTTCCCCCACATCATGGCAATTATTGCATCTAACTGTACTGTAAAATTTGACGTAAGCTGCAGAGATGTAGCCTGACGACAGTCACGGGTGAGGTCCATTGTGCGAGAAGCTAGTTCCAGCTGAATGCCACCTCACAAATGACATTTACTGAGCCCATTAGAGGGAGGAGAGGTCTGTCATGCCTGCACACTGGAACATCCATGCATCCAACAACATTTCTGTTGCACTCAAATTATTTGTGTTGGATTTTAATTGTCGTGAAATCAGTTCAGATTGCATAGGAATATCAATAATACGGGAACGCTCTTCCACGAGAAGCAGAGTCAGGGCATGGGAAATCAGGTTCCAGAACAAGAGGATAATGGATTCATTTCAGCCATTAATTCCAGGCTACACCTCTTGTGTCTAATTTGTCAAAAGCAAACGGTTCAGGGGTTCCTAACGATCCGGGCCCAGCAGCTCCTGTGACCTTACTTGGAGAAAAAAATGTGTGGCAAAGCAGAAAGGAATGCAATGCCCAGACAGGAGCGGTCCAGCATGGGCAATGGACAAGAGCTTGCATGTTCTGCGGAAGAGCACCAATATGACTTCATCAGTTGTGGTGACTCAGAGCCCACAGCCTCAAAAGCGGTGACTTTATAACATCAACTCTAAAAGGCGGCGCCTCTTGTGTTCTTCTCAGAGCCTTTTTTCAAACTGTCAAGGTGGGAAGAAGGAAAGGTGGATGAGTCACACAGGTGATCCAGCCTCACCATATAGGGGACAGGGCTTTGGTATTTCCTGGAAGCATCGCCCATAATTCTGGACCAAGAACAAGAGAATTTGCTGGTGGGACTGTACCTGGCTCTTTTGCAGAGGCAGAGATAACAAAAGAGCAAATGACATCACTGGTAGCTTGACTCACGGATAATCTGGCTACCAACACAACAAACAATATGTGAGCAAGCTGTACAGGATTTGACCAGACTTGCAAAGATAAGATTTAAGACTCTAGAGAAAGCAAATGCTGAGAGAGATAACCAGGAATGCAATGCTGAGAGCTGGTTTATGGGCTAATGGTTTTTAAAATCTTTTCAGCAACTAAAAAAGTCCACCTGATTAACTGGCCTCAGATTGCTTGCATATGGAAAGTAGAAGAGTTGAATGCTATTATGGAGCAAGCAGTTTGCATAAGTCTATAAAGTTGATGGTGAAAAAGAAGTATTTTCTTTTTCCTTATTTTCTTTCTTTTGGTTTTAATGTTTAAAATGCTTGGTATTTGATGTTAACATTTCTATATTGCTTTTTCTTTGTTTTTCCCCCAAAGGAAACGGAAACAATACCCAACCCCCGCCAGTTTAAAAGGCCATAGATTGTTTCATTAGCCAAAAGGGGAAGATGAATGTTTTTTGCCTCATTCATTTATTAGACTGGTGCCTAAATGATGGGAATTGGAGTCCAACAGCAGAGATGAGTCCAACAGCTCCTAGAGGGCACCAGTATTTTACCCCTAGTGTAGACAATACTGAGCTAGATGAAGCAAGGTATGATATGGTCAAAGGCACCTCCCTATATGCCTATGTCTTTAAGGGGAGAGCCATAGCTCAGTGGTAGAGCATCTGCCTTGCATTCAGAAGGTCCCAGGTTCAATCCCTGGCAGCACCTCCAGGTACCTGGGAGAGATCTCCTGCCTGAATCACCACTGCCACTCAACACAGACAATACTGAGCTAGGTGGGCCAATGCATCTAATATCAAGCAGTTTCCAGTGTTCATTTTAGGTTGGTGGCTGTGGTTGTATGGCAGAGTTGGATGGACGAAGGGGCTGACTGTGCAAGTGATACCCGATCTGCCAGCCAGAGCTAGCAACTTGACCCAAGGCTGTCCAGAAAGCTTCTGGGTCACCTTGGTTCTCTTACATTTCAACTAGGTCTTTATTACATTTGTTTCCTATCCTGTTCTTGGAACCCAAGATGATGTATGTGTGGTTCACAGACAGGCGCCCATCCAAGCACTTACCAGACTCCAGACCTCCAGAGTTTTAGCCAGGCAGTGTATAGGGATCTTCAAGGTTCCTGGTGCCTAAGTGGTGGGTCACGACCCACTACCAAGTTTCAACCTGATCTAAGCTGGGACACAACAACAGCAGTACCATACAAATAAATGTTAAAAGAACTAGACAACTCTTCTAGATCCTTAGAAGACTGTGCTCTAATTAGGAATGGGCAAGACATGCTTGGATGCTTCCTCTGAAATTCATAAACCAACAACTAGATGGGTGGTGGCAGAAGGTGTTATCCCTTACACCACAGCTATACAGATATGTCAGAACAGGTACAGACTGAGACAAGGACAGCAGCCATTTCCTCACTAACTTTACTGGACAGGTTGATGGACAGCTTGATGTCTAAGGCAAACCTCGCCCGCTCATCATCATCTGAAAACATTGCTCTACGTCAGGCCAGAGGGAGACACCGTGATCCAGAATAACCCAAAGCAAACGTGTTTTTTTAAAAAGGCGCTGCATCAGCAAAAGTTGAGTCAGCTAAATTCTGGGGTGTCTCCTTCATAACAGCATTTCCTAAGATCTCAAGTGTGCTTTTTAGGGCGATGGCCAAGGGTGGAGTAAGAAATGCCATCCCACACCCAGCACCCCATTTCTTCCCATTCCCATTCCACAGGAAGAGTCATGATTAAGATAGGAATCTTCTTCATTGCACCACTGCAGTCTTCCTCAGAAGACTGTGACCTCCAGATGTTTTGGACCAAAAATTCAGTTGTGCTGGCTGGGGGCTGATGGGAGTTGTGGATCTAAAACATCTGGAGAAGGGAAGGCTGTCCTCATTGGGCCTGACAGCCCTACAGCTCAAACCTATCTGAAGAAATCTGAAGTACTGTCACACCACACCCCATCCTGTTGAGTAGACAGAGGGAGAAGCCTGGGAGGAGGAGGTGTCAGAAACTGAAGAGGCAACAGAGTTTAGTGAGCAGGTAGAGTCCTTGGCACAGAGAAGTCTGGAAGCAGAAGAAGAGGCGGAAGCAGGAGAGGAGGGAGGCCAAGGGGCAGAGATGAGGCCAACTGGTGAAGAAGGCAGGGCATTCCCTCCTGCCCTGCTGCAACAAGCTCCCCTCCCCGCTGGTCTCCCAGAACCAGGAGAGGTATGAAGAGGGAGGAGGAGAGGCAGGAGCATTGGTGGAGTCTCAGATTGCTTGGGAATGACCCAGGAGAGGAGGTGATTTAGGCAGCTGTGGGAAGCCTTCACAACTGCATCATAGGGTCAAGACCTACAGAGAAGAGTTGCTGTGTCCATTAGACCTGGCGCTCCTGAGCTGATTCTGTTTCTTCTAATAAAGAGTAAACTTCACTTACTCTGTGTGATTTACTCCTGACACAAGCTATGATGGCTATGCTTTGCCTCCATGTTCAGAGGCAAGAATGCTTCTGAATACCAGTTGCTGGAAGCCACAGGAGGAGAGAGGACTCTTGTGCTTGAATCTTGCTTGCTGGTTTTCCTTTGGGGCATCTGGTTGGCCCCTGTAAGAAGAGGATGCTGGACTAGATGGGCCATTGACCTGATGCTGCAGGCTGTTCTTAAGTTTGGGGCAGGTGTGGAAACCTGAATTTGGTGTGAGCTGTTGTAGCCTAGCAGCCGAGAAGCTGAGCCGCAAACCAGCCAATACCCAGTTCAAACCACCCCTTATCAAGTGGACATCAGGGAAACCATGCTGTCATTGTCTCAGCAATGGAGTGGTAATATTTCCCTATGTTAAAGGCTCACTGTAAGGATTAAAACAATATATGTTAAGCTGCAAGAATGCAGGTACCCCATATACAAATAGCAATCCTAATTCTCCAGGTCCTTGGCCTCATTTAGCCAGAGCAGTCAGGCTTGCACATCGGAGAGAGGTATGTTCATGCTTGGAGAAACCTCAAGGTATGCAGACATACAAAATAAACTTTTTGAGGCAGCGGGGAGCCAAGTGGCACCCCTCTTTCCAAAAGAGTCCAATGAAGATTGATGGTTGGAGGGGAGAGAATCGTGAGGGTGAGACGGCAACAGCTCTTCAGGATTTCAGGCAAGAGTCTTTCCCTTTTGGGACAGAGAGCAGGCATTCTGCATGGGAGCTACAGCCCTTCCCTTGTGTCCATCTAGCTCAGCATTGTGTATGCCAACTCACAGCAGCACACCAAGGTTAAAGACAGGGTTGTCTCCCAGCCCTATGTGGAGACGATGCTTGGGACCAAACCTAGGACTTTCTGTGTGCAAGATGTGCTCTACTACTGAGCTATGGTCCATGCCCTAAAAATAAAGCAAGAACCTAGTCCTCATGATTCTCAGTAAATGGATGATTTAACGAAAAGCATGGGAAGCTGCCTTATACGGAGCTAGGCCATAGGGTCAATCTAGCTCAGCACTGTCCACACGGACCACCTGCGGATTTCCGGGATTATAGGCAGGGTGATGCCACTGAGGGTTGAACTTGGGAACATCTGCATGCAAAGCAGGGGCTGTAGCTGTGCTCCCTTCTGTGGCTCCCCTCTGAAGCCCCTGTCCTTCTGTCTCTGTTTTGTTGCAAAGCAAGTTTGGAAAAGGCAGTGGGCAATGGGTGGGGAGGGCAATTTCTAGCTGCCCAACTGTGCTGTCTGGTTAACCAAAACACAAGCACAAATGCCCATTGAACAAGTTGGTGCAATTTTCCCACATGTGCCTGTGGTTCATCCTATTAAACAGGAGCACCCTATTAGGCCTCCTTCAGCATGTTTTTGTCAGAGGCATGTTGCAACCTCACCTGCCCCAATAAGGCTGAGATCTTAATTACTTTTTTTTTTTTGCAGGCATCAAAAGACATCTTTGGAAGCAGCCCCATCCCTTTGATATGCCCAGATGCAAATAAAGGGAAGAAAAAGAACTGGGGGAAACAGCTGACACAAGTCCAGAGATTTTGCTGTAGTAATCCAGAAAAAGACACTGCCCCACCCTAGGCTTGGGGTGGATTAACTAACAGATGTGGGGTTGAACCCAATCCTGGAAGGCCACAGAGGAAAACAAATTCTCCTGGAACATTAAAATGCCTAGGTAAGCACAGCCAGGTTTATATATGGTTTGTCCATTTGAGATCACCACCCACGTTATTTTGTCTGGCTCCCAGTTGTTTCAACAGGTCTTGTACTAGAATATTTGGATGGCCCTCTTCAGGGATTATTTAGCTGTGGTTCCATCATTGCACAGCATTGGACTAGATCATCCTTAATGTCCCTTTCAACTCTACAATTCTATGATTCTATTTTCCAATAAACCGTGCCCCTAAATTTTCCCAATTTAAAGTACTAATTCAGTTCTGCCAACTATTCCAACTAGAGCCTGAGACCTGTCTGATCTTGAAGCTGATCTTCCAAAAGTTTTGCATCTGTTCTGACTCAGTTTTATTTTGCGGTTTCCAAAGCTGAGTTGTCAAGTTCAGGCAAACTGCACAGGAGCTGAGCTACCTAGATAAAAGCAGGGGGTGGGGTGAGGGCCATAGCTCGGTGCACATGCTTGGCACATCCAGGCAGCATCTCCAAGTAGAACTGGAAGAGACCCCTGCCTGAGACCCTGGAGAGCTGCTGCCAGTCAAAGCAGACAGTACTGAACTAGATGGACTAACGTTCCAGTATAAGGCAGCTTCCTATGTTCCAGACACTGAAGAATTGTATCAAACCAGAGCACCAACATAGCTCACCTCTAAGGACTCACAAACAGACCTCCCAAGTAAGCTGTCGAGTCAAGTTATCATCTGTTATACTGCCCAGGAGCTGAGCTGGCTCAATCAAAGCTTGTTGGAGCAGCAACTCATTTGCAAAGGTCACCGAGGGAACTGTGCTGGATCTCACCGGCTACACGGCTCCTGACTACAATCCTATCTGCCTACACACCTTAGATGTGAGCAGTGCGGCTTCTCTGGTGTCTATTCTGCTCCTCATTATCTCTTTTGCTAGCAAAGCTCGGCAGATCAACAAGCACAGATCAGAACATCCCACCAGACTAGAAAGGCAACAACATGAACCATCGAGAATACTTCACGGATTTGGAACTGCAGTCTGAATCGGAGAACAAGATTTGTGAAAAATAAAACACCATCTAGTGTTACTGAGTCCTCACTGAGATTTTGAAAGCCAAGGGTGGAACCTCGGAGTGAAATTGGCACATTGTGCTGTTGTGGAGCTCCCATTCACTCTCAACAGTGCTTGTTGTGTGCCCCTAAAAAATCTCCATGTTCGGGGGTTTCAAAAACTGGTTTCTGCCAGAAATCTCCACTGTCTCCTTTGTGTTTAGGAACATTAGAAGAGACAGCTGAATCAGGCCAATGGCCCATCTAGCCCCGCATCCTGTTCTCACTGCGACCAACCAGATACCTGTGGGAAACCACAGCGCTCTCCCCTTCTAATCGTGGAGGCAGAGCAGAGCCATCATGCTTAGCAGCCATCAAAAGGCCTCTCCTCCATGAATTTGTCCATTACTCTCTTAAAGCCATCCAAGTTGGTGACCCATCGGCAGGTCAGCTGTCTGCTTCATGAAGTCATCCTTTCTTTTCTCTGTCCCAACATGCAACTTTGTTGGCTGTCCATGAATTCTAGTGTTATGAGAGAGGGAGGAGAACTTTTGAGAACAGCCTCTGCCAAACTGGTTCTTGCCTTGCCAGATGTTGGACTATGACATCCATCAGCCCCAACGTCATGGACTGGTGGGAGTTGTGGTCTGAAACATCTGGAGGGCACTGGGTTTGCAAAGCCTGTGTCAGAAGGAAGAGGATATTGATTTGTAGCAAGCTTTACTTAACTACTTCAGGTAGGAATCTGGGCCTGGAGGGGAGAAGCAGACTTAAATTCCTTAAGAAGCTAATGGAGGGCAAAATGGGCTCTTACATAACCATTCTTTCATCTCCCACACCCCTTGGGATAGTGGGAGAACATTTAAAGCCACATGGAAATCCTCAGATAAAATCATTCAGCAAACCTCCACCACACCCACCCCTTGGGGCTTCCTAAGAGGGGAGGGGAGGGTTCCACGTTATTAGGCACGAGAGTTGTATAGACTCTATGTAACACATTTGTATGTGTGTCTGTTTCCAGTCACTGTTGGTTTAGCAGAATTTCTGCAGAAATCAGAGCTGGACGAGGTGGTCCAGAGAGGAACAACTATAAAGAACCTCTTTAGAAGAAGTAAAAGCACACCAGATGACAGTTCAGTGGTGTGCAGTCAGTGGACTAAGGGGACTAGGCTAGCCCCCTAAACGTTTCCCTGACGCCTCCTTCCCAAAGCCTGGGCAGCTTCTGCCTGGCTTAGGGAGGTGCAATGCTCACACGTGTGACATCGGGACATGTGCGGCATCCCCCCTCCCCAATCACCCTCGCAGGTTTGCGCCTCAGGCCTTAACTGTTCCCCTGTGAAAAAATTCACGGCACGCCACTGTTAGAGTTCCGGGCATGCACCTGGGAACTTGCACAAACAGAGGCTCCAAACAGATAAAAGGCCATCTTGTTAATTTTTTATAGGAGTGAGCTAATAAGAAATCTTAGGGACGACTACAAGGTTTCAGAATGAGAGAGAAAGAGAAGCTCCACCACCTCCATTGGCTGGTTTTCAGCATCTGCGAGCATTGCCTCACCCAGAACAGAACTGATGTGACTCTCTGCAGCTCAAACTTCAAGAAGAGACGTGCTGTCAGAATCATACCCACAGAAGTGCAGAAAGTGGAGGCAACACAATTGCAACAGCAGCGTGGAGGACAGGCCTTGGCCGCTATTGGGGGGAAAATACTTAGGGGTCAAGTTAACAAGCAGCCCAGCTTGTGTAACTCTGCAATTCCAGGGTAGTGCAGAAAGTTCACTGAAAGGGGTGTTGTACACAGAATTCAGCTTCCGAAAACTTTTTAAACTCAAAGATTCTGGTCTGGGCAACACAGCTGTGAAAATCGGCTTGAAAGCATGTGAGCCATTGTTGTTGAAACCTCAGAAGCAGGAGATGGCAGCCCCATAAGATGTCTGTAGATGGGGTTGTTAGCAAAGTCAGTTGAATAATGCGAATGGGAGTCCAGAGAGAGAGAAAATCCTGGTCAGACTTTACTGAGGAAACAGAACACAAACAGTTTACAGTGGTACCTCGGGTTAAGTACTTAATTCGTTCCGGAGGTCCGTACTTAACCTGAAAATGTTCTTAACCTGAAGCACCACTTTAGTTAATGGGGCCTCCTGCTGCTGCCGCGCCGCCGGAGCACGATTTCTGTTCTCATCCTGAAGCAAAGATCTTAACCTGAAGCACTATTTCTGGGTTAGTGGAGTCTGTGACCTGAAGCGTATGTAACCTGAAGCATATGTAACTCGAGGTACCACTGTATAATTTGAGGGAAAAGGAGCAGAGAGGAACAGAAAAGCATACAGCAAGAATGACCTTGGCCCAATCTTTTAGCCTGATGTACATCAGTTCACAGGGGACTAGTCTCTTCCCTCCCTCTTTCTCAGTTCAGCCAAGGGCAGATGTCATTATAGCAACTGGGTGTTGAAGCTTCACTTCAAGGCTGTCTCCATGGCGCCTTCCACAAAGAGCTTAATGAGCTGGAGCAAAACCCGGTTTCCCAGCCTTTGGCCGCTTGCACCTCAGAAGGATCACTCCCAGGCACAGCTGCGATGATGATACAAGAAAACCGACGCAAAACTTTGCTGCATCAACGGAAAGCATCCCTCTTAGGCGTTTAGCACCAGGCCCTTCCTCCACCACCACCTCCTCGCCCACGACACACATTTCCTGACCACAAGCACTTGTATATGCAAAAAAAATCATACACTCCTGAAGAGAGATCCAGACAACACCTCTGTGTTGGCTCTTGCAGCTGGAGGTGGAAGGCTTCCCCATCTCACTCCTGTGCCCTTCTTCTCTTACATCAGGCCGCGTATGAAATAAAGCGCAAAGTGTACGTAGATTCATCAAGCGGTTCCATGCGAATACGTGTGACTTCAACATTCATCTTAATAAATCCCCCCCATGTTAATTAGCTGACCAATGCCAGGACTGAGGGAAGGGGTGTCTTGTCTTCTGGGCAGCTCAGGATTTCCATACACACTGCCCAGGCTTGCACCTTGAGGAGGTCACTTTGGTGCTGTTAACACAGTGGTTTGACTTCACCCCCATTGCCTCTTGACACAGATGGATGGGAACAACAGCAGCTTAGGTGGGATAAGCAGATATGTGCAATGCTTTTATTTACCATATTTTTCGGTGCATAAGACTAGGTTTTCCCCCTAAAAAATAATGTCCAGAATTTGGGCGTGTCTCATACATGGGGGGCCATCTCCCCCCATTTTCTTAAACTGGATTTCCCAAAAATAGGGGGCGTCTTATACATGGGGGCGTCTTATAGACGGAAAAATGCGGTACCCTTACATCACAGTTCCATCACAGAGGATGGCTAATGTGTGTGTGTGTGTGTGTGCGTGCTGAGTGAGAGAGCTCTTCTCCCAACATCAGGCCGGGGACTGATTGACCACATGCCCGCTAGGAAACAGAATGACTCCAGACAGCATTCAGAGACACCTGAAATGTGATGTTCAGAAACAACAGCAGCCAAAATTTATTCATTTATATACTCCACCTTTCCTCCAAGAAGCTCAAGGTGGCACACATAGTTCTCCCCACTCCCCATTTTATCCTCACGGCAACCCTGTGAGCTAGGTTAGACTGGGAGAGATTGGCCCAAGGTCACCCGGTAAACTACATCATGGCTGATTGGGGATTTGAACCCTGGTCTCTCCAGGTCCCAGTCCGACACGCTAACTGCGGTATCACACTGGCTCTCACTACATAACAATGTAGATTGTATCTCCTAGCGAATTCCTGCTATGAAGTCTGAAGATTTCCTCCAAGCAATTTTCATTAGGAGCAGCATTCAGCTGCCCAGCCTCGCTGGGGGAAAGAATGTGGCCTGGCACCCAACCTGTCAACGGGGCACTGCTAAATGATAGCATGAAGGTCTGCAACAAACACTGCCTCGTAGTGGGGCAGGATCTGTGGCCATATGCTGCTTAGTCGTTTAGTCATGTCCGACTCTTCTTGACCCCATGGACCAGAGCACGCCAGGCACTCCTGTCTTCCACTGCCTCCCGCAGTTTGGTCAGACTCATGCTGGTAGCTTCAAGAACACTATCCAACCATCTCGTCCTCTGTCGTCCCCTTCTCCTTGTGCCCTCCATCTTTCCCAACATCAGGGTCTTTTCCAGGGAGTCTTCTCTTCTCATGAGGTGGCCAAAGTATTGGAGCCTCAGCTTCACAATCTGTCCTTCCAGTGAGCACTTAGGGCCGATTTCCTAAAGAATGGATAGGTTTGATCTTCTTGCAGTCCATGGGACTCTCAAGAGTCTCCTCCAGCACCAGAATTCAAAAGCATCAATTCTTCGGCGATCAGCCTTCTTTATGGTCCAGCTCTCACTTCTATACATCACTCCTGGGAAAACCATAGCTTTAACTATACGGACCTTTGTCGGCAAGGTGATGTCTCTGCTTTTTAAGATGCTGGCTAGGTTTGTCATTGCTTTTCTCCCAAGAAGCAGGCGTCTTTCATGGCTGCTGTCACCATCTGTGGCCATTACCTGTCAGCAAAGAGTTGGCTTCCCCCAATGCATCCAGGAAGAGTGAACAGCTCATCTCGTAAGCCCTGGAGAAGAAAAAAAAAAGACTCATTTTGCAACTGGGAGGGAGGCTGCTTGATTGTTTCTTCTTGAACTCCTCCAAAACTTGGGAGCTGGCAGCTCTAGCTGGGGCTGCATCCTTCAGTATCTTGACAAGGGCCATAGTTCAGTAGTGGAGCACTTGTTTTGCATGCAGAAGGTTCCAGTTTCTATCCCCATTGGCATCTAATGGTAGGGCTGGGAAGCACCTTTGTTGAAAACCCTGGAGAGCTGCTGTCCGTCAGTATCAACAGTACTGAATTAGGTGGACCAATGGTCTGGCTTGGTGTAAGACAGCTTCCTGTTTTCGGTCCACCGTCTTTGATCCATCTTGGTCAACATTCTACATGTTTATCCAGGAGTCTCTCCAGGAGTTGAAATGTTCTTACTCTGCACATTAGTGCCGGGGGCAAGAATGAAGCAACTGCT